GATTATTGCACTTATATAGCGACGTGCATGTACGTGTGTGTGTTTGTGTGGCTGCTTGTACTAGTCCGGACTGATGCCGATTTGTAGTGCTAGCTCACTGAGATACCATGGCGCAGTTTAACATGAATACCCCACTCAGACACAGTATACTGACTCCGAGCCGACCAGTCCTTGTTTTAGCCCCTTAATGCCGAGCGCCAGACAGGGTAACAACAAGTACCATCTTTTCCCGTTTTTAGGTATGACGCGGTCGGGGATCGAACCCCGAACCTTCCGCTCTCCTTGCGGACGCTCTACCACTAGACCACGGAGACGGTCTGCTTAGAAAATAATATGCATAACGATGTGTTACATTATATTAACTGTTCATGTTAAAGTAATTAGTAAATGATGTGAAAATGTAAGAAACAAATAAACGTAATTTCATACGGATCATGTTATTCACGTGTTCTCAAAACGTGCAAGCGATTGATAAAAAACTCTTCCAGGACCTCACGAAACTGCAGTGCGTGAGTGAGTGAGTTGGGTTTACGCCGCTTTTAACAGTAATCCAGTTATATCGCGGCGTGTCAGCTTAATGTGGGAGGAAAGCTCGAAGTGATGCAGGTCTCAGACGTTTACCAGTTCGGTGAAACCCACGAGCACGGGTATGATGCTGACAAACCTAGAAACATAATAGGGGCGAACCGTGATTCGAACCCACAATCATAGGTTTCTGGCGTGTGCAATGACGCAACTCTGCACAGCGAATCGCGGCGCCGTAGACGACTGGGCCACCCGTGCCCCCACGAAACTGTAAAGAGACTGTAAAGAAACTGTAAAGAAACTGTAAAGAAACTGTATCACTATGCATTGTGAAGACCAATTTACCACCGACCTTGTCGCACGTGCACGTGAGACCTTGTCGCACCTGCACGTGCAACAGAGATCAAATACCACACGCAGCAGGCAAGGGTGACACACAATATAACGATATTAATACAGTCGATACTGATCTATGAAATATTGTTTTCTCTAATATCAGATGGTGCCGTGAGCAGGCGTTTTGAAAACAATCCATCACAAATAATTACAACAAAGTCGTAAGATGACGTCACGTTGCCCAGGAGCTAATGATTTGTTACTAAGTCTTTCAAATTATGAAAACATTCAACATACATAATTCTTGCTGGTATAAATTGCAGGAATCAGCATTTAACCTAAAAATAACACTTTGAAGAATTTTTATATCGTTCCATTTGAAAGATGTGTGTTTGTGTTTAGCAAATTAATATGGTTCATGGAGAAAGTCACAGAAACTGGACAGTCGTTTTACTGTTATAAGGGTAACGCTATTTTTCAGGGTATTATTATTTGCAGAAGCCCGAGGTCTTCCATTAACGGCCCGACGAAGGAGGGCAGTTGAAAAGCCCGAGAGCTTCTGCAAATGATAATGCCCTGAAAAATAGCGTTACCGTTATTATAGATAAAATGGATGGAATTTGTTATCAAGTAAAAAGAAACAACTATATCGGTTTTGAAACATTTACTGCAATCAACACGAATGTCACCCACCCACTTTTACAAATATGGAAACGTCATAGAACAAACCTGATGACGTCACTATTGAACGTGACGTCACCTATCCCTATCCTATGACGTCACCTAACAACGGGCATGATAATGACCCGTCGTCAAACAATATGAGGGCATTATCAAGTTACAGTGGCCCGCTCATAGAACGGAAACGCTATTTTTCAGGGCATTATCATTTGCAGAAGCCCGAGGTTTTCTATTAACTGCCCGACGAAGGAGGGCAGTTGAAAAGACCGAGGGCTTCTGCAAATGATAATGCCCTGAAAAAGAGCGTTACCGTTATTATAGCTAAAATGGATGGAATTTGTTATCAAATAAAAAGAAACAACAACATCGGTTTTGAAACACTTACTGCAATCAACACGAATGTCACTGACCACATTTTACAAATATGGAAACGTCATAGAACAAACCAGATGACGTCACTATAATACGTGACGTCATTTTCTCTACCCTATGACGTCACCTAACAACGGGCTTGATAATGGCCCGTCGTCAAGCAATATGAGGGCATTATCAAGTTACAGTGGCCCGCTCATTTCTGATAACGTGCGGGCGGTTTAATAATAATTCTATCCATTTTAGCTATAATTTCTGATAACATGCGGGCGGTTTAATGATAATTCTATCCATTGTAACTATACTATAATGTTACGAATTTTGGGAACAGTTTTAATTTAACTAACATGGAGATATTATACCCTGGAAAAGCGAGGATGATACCTAGGATTACCAGAAAGAAATTATTTAGGAATGATGATGACAAGAAGTCGAAACACGCTTAGACTAAGTCAACCTCCCGATTGGGCGTGTGTACAAGTCATTTAGAGCTGAATCTCTAATGCGTTTCAAATACATTTAGAAATGTATACAGCGATGTGTAAACAACGAACGATACATGTTCAAGAATTAGATCAGATCATGAATAAATGTAAGCTGACGCCGATGTTTGAGCAAAGCGAATATTCTTAAGTTCCTATATTATCCCTAATGAATGAATTGACCTTCGTATTGTCAGGCATGTATTGTAAAATATTTGCATTGTAGCAAGGATGCAGTGAATATACGATATGCGCCGTTAATGGTAATACGATGTGAGTTTGATACTTGTTCGTACATTATCGTATGGTATCGATTCCTCAATAAATCAAACATTACCTGTAACTCAATGGTACCCAGATCGATACACTTCGTTATTTTGGAGAACATATGGTCGACTGACGGGATTATGGGGTAGCCAAGCGTTTCATGTGTTCGCTCGTATCATTAACGACCCGGGTTCGATTCCTTCACATGGGTATAAGGTAGCGTCCCTCGTATTGCTGGAACATTGATAAAAGCAGCGTAAAACCCTAATCACTCACTCACACGCACCCTCCCTCGACCCCGCCCACGTACGCCCAGTGTTTGTTTGTTTGTTTGTTTGTTTGACGCCACAGTCGGCAATATCCAAGCATTATGACGGCGGTCTTGAAATAATCGAGTATGAACCAGAAAATTCAGTGATTGACATCATGAGCAACGATTCACGCAGTTAGGATATGATGACATGAGAGCCTGACCACCCGATCCCGTTAGTCACCTCTAACGACAAGCGTAGGTTGATGAAGACTAATTCTCACCCGCATCTTCACGGGTCGTACGTCAAGTGAGTCAGTGAGTTTTAATGTCAGAGTCAAATATTATGCAAATTATTTTGCGCGACCTGATACAAACTTGTATGAACCATGTCAGGAGCCTGACCACCCGATCCCGTTAGTCGCCTCTTACGACAAGCATAGTCGCCTTTCAGGGCAAGCATGGGTTGCTGAAGACCTATTCTACCCCAGATCTTCACGTGGACAAGCATGGGTTGCTGAAGACCTATTCTACCCCGGATCTTCACGTTGACAAGCATGGGTTGCTGAAGACCTATTCTACCCCGGATCTTCACGTGGACAAGCATGGGTTGCTGAAGACCTATTCTACCCCGGATCTTCACGTGGACAAGCATGGGTTGCTGAAGACCTATTCTACCCCGGATCTTCACGTGGACAAGCATGGGTTGCTGAAGACCTATTCTACCCCGGATCTTCACGTGGACAAGCATGGGTTGCTAAAGACCTATTCTACCCCGGATCTTCACGTGGACAAGCATGGGTTCCTGAAGACCTATTCTACCCCGGATCTTCACGGGGACAAGCATGGGTTGCTAAAGACCTATTCTACCCCGGATCTTCACGTGGACAAGCATGGGTTCCTGAAGACCTATTCTACCCCGGATCTTCACGAGTCAGGTCACACAGTCACGCATCAGAATTAACTGGGAATTATCGCCCGCTGTTGTCTTTAAGTGTTGTCGGAACTACATGTATGTGACGATGAAGTATGATCTATTTTGTCATACAAACCTCCCTTACTGAGTGACAAACACATGGTGGGAATCGAACCCGGGTCTTCGCCATGGCAAACGCATTAACCCCTGGGGCTATCCAACCGGCCCTAATTTGAATTTTATATCAGCATAAAAAATAAACAGTGTTAATTGAACAGTGAAAGATGAGTACAAGTTCACAAAGCATGCAATAACGTTAAGATTCTGATTCGCGAAGTATTGTAAACCTTCTTTCTGAGTAGACTGCTGTGGGTGTTAAATATTTCAAAAGAGTCCCATTCCTTTCTTGTTTTATTAGCTGTGCTGTGTCCCTAATATGTCTGCTTTAGATTCGTGTTGTGAATGGTGTTCAATTGTTTTCTTCTGAAAATACGTGTTCATACAAGCGTCATTTGCAAACAACACCGAAATTAGAGAAATTGGTAAACAATCGGAAGTATTCTGGGCCATTCTTGCCGACGAAAAACCTTTTCTTTTAATTTTCGACGAAAAAAATATTTTTTAGGTTATTCCTAAAATAGCGTCAGCCCCCGCAAGAGCATCGTGGCAAGGCTTTCAGTCTCGCTTTGCAGTTCTCCACATCAAATGTGTAATGATAGTGCATACAGACATTACATTTTAAGACCCCATAGCGAGGAAGTTTCTAAATATGAAGTCTGTGCACTAGATTCACCCCCGCCTGTTTCCATTCCCTCACCAGCCAAACTAGCACGTCGCTTTAAAGAGCCGAATTTGTGTGTGAAACTCATGTATGCAAATTTACACAGTCAACCAGCACGCACGTTCACAGCAAGCCCTGTCCGCACACAAACTCTCTTCTCACTGGGACTTCCCGAAAGCTAGCCTATCAAATCCCGTTTCCTATATTCTAGCTAATTTACGACAAGATGCTCAAAGCTTTTACCTGGCCGCGAGACCATAATCGATAGCGAAAAACATCCACGCTCTCTGATTGGTCGGTGTGGAAAACCACGTGACCTGTCTCCTCAACTCTGCACCTTCTAACATCAGTACGAGGAATGTCAGTTACGACGAGTTGGTCTCAAATCGACTGGTCCTTTAAACATTAAATCATCAAATATCTATAAACGCGCATCGAGGCTGGCTGAATTCCCCCGTACAAATCCCCAGTCGTGCTGACGTTCTCACAAAGATGCAGTATTTGCCGGTTTGTCCATACCAATTTTCATCTGGAAGTTTTTATTAATCAGAGGCGTTTATCAAGCGGGCCAAGCATTAAAAGACGAACAACAACGTGACACAGATATCGGGTAGGTAAATCTATGAATCTTAAATGTAGACTTTATTTAATCCAAAGTTAAACAACATATTCCTTTGTACAGAAACCTACCTATAATATCATTGAACTTTAGGCGTATTCACTTGATTTATACGTTAATGGGTGTAGGGAATGGTTGATATTAAAGCAAATTATCAAATTTTACCAATATTTTAATTACAAGTAATATCATTGTTGTTTGAGAATGATTATCATTAATTTTGCAACGTGTATATTCCATTTAACACGGGCATTGAGCTGCCAATGTTTAATATTTTAATATTTCATATCTTATCGTTCAGTTTTGTTGTATGGTTAATATCATATAATAGCCCCAAACTAAACTTTTCTACGCAGTGTATTTCTTATTTCTCAGCAGCAAACACGGAAGTTACGCATGTTTTTCTTTTTCATTTAGCAACATAAATAGTTTAACGCCTAAGTAATATGTGGTATTTGCTTTCGATCATACTCGGCTATTTAGCCCCGGGTCATGTTACCCGTCACAAATCACTTACTACACATGCCGATCTCGACGCTAAATGTTAATTACATTTAACTTGGTGTGAGAAACAGCATACGTATGAAATGTATTCCGATTAAAGGTGACTGGAACATGGAATTGACACTGAACACCTTTTAATCAGATACGAATGTATAACTCCATGTCATACAACACGAACCAGATGTTGTAGTCAAAAACATTTTCGAATACAACGTGTTCCTGAAATGTTTAGATATGAATTAGTTGATAAATGTTTTTTTTTCAATTGCGTGTTTGATACAAATAAAAACGCTTTCATTTTTAACTTAAATCTGCTGTTGTTACTAAGCAGTGTAGGGGCGGTCGGGTAGCTTAGTTGTTAAAGCGTTCGCTCGTCACGCCGAAGACCCGGGTTCGATTCCCAACATGGGTACAATGTCTGAAGGCCATTTCTGGTGTCCCCCGCCGTGATATTGCTGGAATATTGCTAAAAGCGCCGTAAAACCATACTCACTCACTCACTAAGCAGTGTAAGAATTGACATATATATGAATAGCATTATGACATATTTTCATATCATATACATGTAATATGTTTCATAGTTGAAATCTGTGTATGTTGTGAAATATACAAATCAAGAATCTATAATTACATTTAAAACTAGCGTCTGTGTTAACAATCAATATATACTTACAACGATGTTTCATTTATATTCCATTGTGGTTGAATTGTGTTTATAAAATAGTACCACGTTTCATGCTAATTTAAATAATCCGCACCGTGAAGATCTTCGGCAACCCATGCTTGTCGTAAGAGGCGACTATGCTTGTCGTAGGAGGCGACTAACGGGATCAGGTTGACGCATGGTTGACGCATGACGCATGCCATCGTATCCCAATTGCGTAGAACGATGCTGATGATGTCAGTCACTGGATTGTCTGGTTTAGACTCGATTATTTACAGACCGCCGTAATATAAGGACGATAGCTGGAATATTGCTGTGTGCGGCGTTAAACAACAAACACACAAACAACAAACCAAAGTTATTCTCAGGATCTAATTTTATGATGTTCAACATGCTTAGGTCAAAACATATTTTATTATATAAAAAATATATAAAATGCTCTTAGTTACTTGTCGTGACTAACCTTATTTGTTCGTCGTTGTGGTTCCACTAATTTGCTGAATTAGCTATTTTCGGATATTGGCACCAACTTTGATGCATATTGACACGTAAGCTGCGGATCCATGCCTCCCATCCTAGACAGAATAGCGTGCATGGTGACCCTTAATCCATGGTGTATGGCATAGTTGTGTTGGACCGTGTATTATGTGTGAACTTATCTCCAATAATACTGTTTATTCATCCGAGTAACACAAACACGTGTTTAAACATACATCTTTGTGTTTTCTGTAACCAGAGATATTTTGTTTGAACACTTGATTCATAATTCATCTCCATCATTAAGTCCTGTTTTATTAGTGTTGCTTCAAACTTCTATCGGTTTTTGGGGTGCGTTGTATTGATTTGATACGGATAACGGTTCTTTTATATGTTGCTTAATATTCGGGGGTGGGGTGGGGTGGGGTGGGGTGGGGTGGTGGTGGTGGTATAGAAAACAGTTTTATTTGAATCATGAAAATACACTTTGGGGACAAGTGATACTTGTACAAATATTTGCCCCCCCCCTGTCAAAAAAGTTAACTACGGCCTTGCATACCAAGGTGGGGCGGTTCGATAGCCTAGTGGTTAAAGCGTTCGCTCGTCACGCTTAAGGTCCGGGTTCATTTCCCCACATGGGAACAATAGGTGAAGCCCATTTCTGGTGTCCCCCGCCATGCTATTGCTGGAATATTGCTAAAAGCGACGTCAAATAATAATCACTCACTCACTACAAACCGAGGCAAAATCAATATTGCGGATTGCGGCGTTCAAATAAACAAAGAAAACTCATCGTGGGAGGTTGTATGTACAGTACTTGTTCATTGCAACAGATACTGAATTTAGTCATGTGTTTAATAGCAAACTGAACATACGCGTGTGACAGATATCACGGATGTGAGACAGTCATCTGTACACGCCCCCTCCAAAAGGACAAACAATAACTTTTAGTTCATAATTTCGTTATTGTTTGCTTCATCACGAAACAGGGGACCTAGCTGTTCAGGTACTAGGTCCCGGAGGTGAGGGGGAGGGACAATACATGGGTAGGGGTAGGGGTAGGGGAGGTGCGAGAGTGTAGAGATTGGAGGAAGGGTGTGGAGGGGTAGGGGAGGTGCGAGAGTGTAGAGATTGGAGGAAGGGTGTGGAGGGGTAGGGTGCGAGAGTGTAGAGATTGGAGGAAGGGTGTGGAGGGGTAGGGTGCGAGAGTGTAGAGATTGGAGGAAGGGTGTGGAGGGGTAGGGTGTGAGAGTGTAGAGATTGGAGGAAGGGTGTGGAGGGGTAGGGTGCGAGAGTGTAGAGATTGGAGGAAGGGTGTGGAGGGGTAGGGTGCGAGAGTGTAGAGATTGGAGGAAGGGTGTGGAGGGGTAGGGTGCGAGAGTGTAGAGATTGGAGGAAGGGTGTGGAGGTTGGAGGAAGGGGGTGGAGAGGGTAGGGTGCAAGTGTGTGGAGGTTGGGGGAAGGGGGTGGAGGGGGTAGGGTGCGAGTGTGTGGATGTTGGAGGAAGGGTGTGGAGGGGTAGGGTGCAAGAGGGTAGAGATTGGAGGAAGGGTGTGGAGGGGTAGGGTGCGAGAGTGTAGAGATTGGAGGAAGGGTGTGGAGGGGTAGGGTGCGAGAGTGTAGAGATTGGAGGAAGGGTGTGGAGGGGTAGGGTGCGAGAGTGTAGAGATTGGAGGAAGGGTGTGGAGGGGTAGGGTGCGAGAGTGTAGAGATTGGAGGAAGGGTGTGGAGGTTGGAGGAAGGGTGTGGAGAGGGTAGGGTGCAAGTGTGTGGAGTTTGGAGGAAGGGGGTGGAGGGGGTAGGGTGCGAGTGTGTGGATGTTGGAGGAAGGGGGTGGAGGGGTAGGGTGCGAGAGGGTACAGATTGGAGGAAGGGTGTGGAGGTTGGAGGAAGGGGGTCTAGGGGTTAGGGTGCAAGTGTGTCGAGTTTGGAGGGTGGTGGTGGTGTTAGGATGCAAGTGTGTGGAGGTTGGGGGAAGGGGGTGGAGAGGGTAGGGTGCGACTATGTGGAGGTTGGAGGAAGGGGGTGGAGAGGGTAAGGTGCAAGTGTGTGGAGGTTGGGGGAGGGGGGTAGGGTGCGAGTGTGTGGATGTTGGGGGAAGGGGGTGGAGGGGGTAGGGTGCGAGTGTGTGGAGGTCAGGGGAGGGGGTAGGGTGCGAGTGTGTGGAGGTTGGAGACAGGGAGTGATTCACAAGCATGCCAACAATACTCTTGCAAATCTAGACTGCTTCAGTTTGTTTGAAAAGCACAGATTTCTTGGGCTCCTTATTAAAGATATATATATATTGCAAGAAAATTTACGCATTATCGCGGATGACCATGCGTCATCAGGGAACAACGACACGTGAGAGAGTAGGTTTGTCAGCATCATCTGAGACCTGCATCACTTCGGGCCTTCCCCTTATCAAGCTGACACGCCGTAATATAACTGATGTATTGTTCAAAGCGGCGTTAAACCCGACACACTCACTCACTCACTCACACATTCCTAAAATGCTGCATTCAGTTACATTAATGTTTCCTTGTTATTAAATACTCCTATATAGAGTCTCAGTCTGTCTATTTTCATTCGCTGTTTGATAACAAGAGCACGCACACAAACATGTGGTTTAAATAGGGCTAAATAGCCTGGTCAACTTGTCATTTTTAAAGTCTGGAATTGATCAGATATATTTTTTTGTATAAACAACAACCGGACGTCGACTTTGTGAATCTAAAGTGAGATAGAGAACGTCTAAAAAACCGTTTTATATTATATACATATGAATGAAATACTGGAATTTATCAGTGACGATAGATCAAGTTATCAGTCACTAGTGACTGATATAAACAAGGTGCCGGAACTACTTAATCAAAACATTAAAGAGTTATCCATTTTAAACAGGAATGTTTAATTATGACAAACAAAAATGTCCACGGAACTTAATACTCGATATGAAATAATATATTTCGCATAACATATATTAACAGGGCTAGTTTTATTCACGAACTATATTCTTTTCGCAAAACCCTTTATATGGCGGTGGTAAAGGGGCGACAGGGAGAACTCAGTAATTTATCAGACACTGATTTCGAAAAAATATATAAATTGCAAGTAATAAAAATAAAACATGTATATAATAAATAGAAAATTAAATGTGTTTTCTCAAATACCACTTTTATGTCATCTCGTGAATTGGGGAGAGTCTTATATTTTCACTCGTGACTGCGTCACTCGTGAAAATATTAGACTCTCCCCACTTCACTCGATGAGATAAAAGTGGTATTTGAGAAAACACATTAAATATCCTCTATATATTCATGAACATCACCGACGTGTGGAATGGAATGAACTACACAACCGTGTCACTAACGTTGCACGCGACGAGGCAATTACACCTAATTGAAAAGTTGGTCAGGTAACGAGTGGTAGAAACAGATTACCTATGTACCAATTTGTCGTACTTTGAGAATCACCCAGATATCGATTTCATGATATCAGATCACTATTTCGTTTATCACAAAAGAAGGGATTCTGGTTTAGGGCATACACATATGTAAGCATCTAGCCCATGTCATGTATTTCTTATCAAACATTCACTAATGGAGTGCAACAGATTGTCTTTACACATGCAGGTCCTAATGCATTGTTTGTTTGTTAGAGACCCGTGAAGATCCGGGGTAGAATAGGTCTTCAGCAACCCATGCTTGCAGTAAAAGGCGATTATGTTTGTCGTAAGAGGCGACTAACGGGATTGGGTGGCCAGGCTCGCTGACTTGGTTGATGCATGTCATCGTATTCCAATTGCGTGGATCGATGCTCATGATGCCATCACTGGATTGTCTGGTCCAGACTCGATTATTTACAGACCGCCGTTATATAGCTGGAATATTGCTGAGTGCGGCGTTAAACAATAAACAAACAAACAAATCTTAGTCTAGACATTGTACAAAGTCCCTTTGTGGAATCAGACATAGTCTCTGTGTCAGCACGGTAGTCATGGCAACTTTTATAGAGAGTGAGTGAGTGAGTATGGTTTTACGCCGCTTTTAGCAACATTACAGCAATATCACGGCGGGGGACACCAGATATGGGTTTCACACCTTGTACCCACGGGGGGATTCGAACTCGGATCTGTAACAACTAGGCTAACCCACCGCCTCTCTCGTGACCAAGGAAGGGTATCTGGTACTTGACTGGCGACAAACGTTACGTATTGAGGGCTCAACTAGCCTGAAATCAACTTCCCGAGGCAAACGTGTCCACTTGCCTATATCAAAGCCTAGTTTCTACCCTTGAAACATCAAGGCCACTTTTCTTGGCTCGACCCTGGAGCCACCTCCCGTAGATCACGAGTTGTGCCCCTTGTAATGAAAACGCGATATCCAATCAGATCGCTGTTATCTCGTATAGCATCACAAAGATGGCGACTACCATAGGCGACGACCCAGTCTATCAGATAACGAAAACATTCGCGATTTCATCACTGACACAAAAACACAGGCAATCGTTTGGGGGTTTAGAAGATGAAAAAGACATATTCGCGTCAACAAAGTCAGCAGTAAATCACTTTCATACAAAGGTGTACCAGTCGTGGATGTTGATTTTGTGAAACGTTCTCTGATTGGACTATCGATATATGCGATAGTCCAATCATATTTAAGCACAGGAAAGTGGGTTAGGTGTGGCAAGGAGGGAAACAAGACTTTGATAAAAAGGCTAGTGGACGCTCTTGAAGATTATTAGTTGGATTTTGTAAATAGCTTCAACGCAGCACATGCAGGATAATGAAATCTAATAAGTCGTAATTTTCTTTTCTTATTAGAAGGCAATTAAACTTACAGGTGAAATTAAATGTTTTTAATTCGCACCCTCCCCGGAAGTCTATTAGATTGATTGATGGATGGATGACGTTTCACATTTTATATCACAGACCATTTACACGTTTTAATGAGCTAACTTGAGCTACATTTAATAACTAGAGGGTATGTTACCTTGGTAACAGATGCAAAATAACTAGCGACGCATTTAAGTCACGAACAACATCCAGTGTGTCGTCTCATTAAACACCGACCTTTTTCTCCGAAAGAGAGGAATCGTACCAGAGTAAAAGATGAGATCTTATATCAAGTCTTACCTATACGGGGTAGATATACTACTCAAAAGAAGTTAGAGAACATCCGATTCTTTCATTTATCATCCAAAACTGGCCCCAACAGGAGATATCGCTTGGTTGAGATCAAGCGATATCTACATTGTAGATATCGCTGCAATGAAATTGCATCACAATGCTTTGCAAACCATTGTGACGTCATTGTTATCATGACGTCACAATCAAATGACATCACTAATGTCTCTGATACTGAGGCAGTACTTTTTACACAGAAGACACTGCTTATAACTGTCTACAAACTGAAAAAAAGTTGGAAGAATGATGTTTGATGATAAATAGAATCTCACCCTTGTGTGTTTTGATATCAAATATATCAATATGTTAGTAATATATTTTTGCTTTCAATGGGGGAAAGGGAGGGGGGATAATCATTAAATAGATCCCCCCAATAAATAAATAAATAAATAAATAAATAAATAAATAAATAAATAAATGTTTTCATTGATTAAATATCTAGTTTTGCAGCTGCAACAATATCTAGTCTCCATTCGAAATCCCAGTCCTTCCCCCTCTTTGACTTGTATGAGTGAGTGAGTGAGTGAGTATGGTTTAACGCCGCTTTTAGCAATATTCCAGCAATATCACGGCGGGGGACACCTTAAATGGGCTTCACACATAGTAACCATGTCGGGAATCGAACCCGGGTCTTCCAACGCTTTAACCACTAGGCTACCCGACCGCCCCCTGACTTGTATGAACTACAGCAATACTGATTCCTCAGGAACTCGTTATTGGTCTATAAATAAAAATATATATCCCCTACATATAAGTAGAATTTTCCATAAAGGAGGTATAGATTTATATTCACTGATCAATAACGAGTTCCAGTGACAGAATCCCGCCAGTGCAGCAAATTATGTTTGGCGCGATTCCTACTCGGACGCGATGCTTCATATAGGCATACATTGCCACTGTATTGATCATTATAAGCAGGGAACAATAGTGTTGATGGTCGTCGGTCAATGTAAGCAGGAACTTTGTCCCGATTTATCACGAACGGTACTTGATCTTGTAAATATTTGATGTAGATTAAAACCATTTGTTCGCTCGCTATGTAATGCTTCCTTTATATTTATCACCAGTGGCTATTATGCTTGTCGTATGAGTGAGTGAGTTGTGTTTAACGCCGCTTTTAACAGTATTCCAGTTATATCACGGCGTGTCAGCTTAATGTGGGAGGAAACCCCGAAGTGATGCAGGTCTCAGACGTTTACCACTTCGGTGAAACCCGCGAGCACGGGCATGGTGCGGACAAACCTAGAAACGTAATCGGGGCGAACCGGGATTCGAACCCATAATCACAGGTTTCTGCACAGCGAATTGCGGCGCCTTAGACGACTGGGCACCCGTGCCCCCCTTGTCGTGTGAGGTGACTATATTGGTCACCACGACTAACACACTTATCATCTAGAGACCGGGTGGCCCAGTGTTCGAGTGTTCGCTCGTCATGATGGAGACATAGGTTTCATTCCCTACTGAATGATGCCACTTTAGCTATCACCCCGGCTACTAGACTTACGGGTGTAGTAGCACAGTGGATCAAGTGTTCGTTCGTCAGGCCCGGGTTCCATTCTCATTTGGGTATGATGCATGAAGCCTCTAATTGTTGTTCCCCACAGTGACATGGCTGGAAAATTGCTGAAAGTAGTGTTAAGTCCCACACACTTACTCTACTATTCCCTAGCATAGCGTCTTTCGCCCTTTTAAATATATGTAGCTACAAAAAGAACACGTTTTCCCTGATTTTAAAGAGAATTTCACATCTTATTTTAAACGTAAAAGGGGTATTTGTCAGCCAGTGGTAACTGTGAGTCATTATAAAATGGTTCGGTATTAATTTTGATATTCTGTTGTGGACAAGATGTGAAGTCCTATTGGTGTGAAACGTGCATCAGGGCGGTCAAACCAAAACGCATGACTTGCACGTGCACTGTATTGACGCAACAAGGGAGCCGTCAATGCGTTGCATCGTCTATTCAACAGCTGAGGTATTTGCGTCGGCCACGCAATTTGAGAAGCTGTGTTGTCTCACGATAGATTACTGATACCGTTTTTCCTCTAATAGAGGATAGATGTTGGTACTGATTATTTCAAGCTTAGTCGTGCTGTATAGACTATTATGATTTTTCTCTTGTATTAATGCCGGAGAATAGTCAGTCAAATCGAACACACTGGAAATCCGGAGATAATTATTATTATAGGCCCAGCGCATTTGAAAATCACAGCTGCGCATGGCCCGGCTCTATTAAAAACGGCCAGCGTGTATTAGAGGTAGTATGGGTTACACAATTTAACTTCCATCGCTGAAAGATTTCGCATGTGTTTTCCAAGCAAGGAGCGCAATCGATGTAAATATATGGTCACGTCAAACAGGAGACAAGGCCTTGAGCGTCAATGTGAGTGACTTTTTTTTATCCACGATTGTGTAAAATACCGCTTGACAAAGATTCGATCATTCGTGAGGTGAGGTGAAATGGGTATTAACATCGCGTTATTGTACTTTAATATGCGAGGTGCTTGTACGTGTGTGTGTGTGTGTGTGTGTGTGTGTGTGTACTCGTTCGGACTAATATAGTTTTTTACAGTGCTAGCCCACTCTGATAGATACCTTTTAAGGTTTTATCCCCTTAATGCCGAGCGCCAGACAGGGTAATAACAAGTACCGCGTTTTTACGTCTCTTGGTTTGATACGGCCGGGGATCGAACCACCGATTTTCTGTTCTCCTGACAGACACTCCACCCGCTAGACCACGGGGATGGTCAGTTATTCACAGGTCGACGTGGTGTACATGGTATATTGCTGAGTAAGGTGTAGAGAGACAGGATGGCTCAGTGGTAAGCGCGCGATTCGCTGTGATCACGATCCACCGTTTTTGTCGTGCTAGAATCTTGGGTTCGAATCCCATATCGCGCTGCTTATGACTCTTGGTTTGTCATCACCAACACGTTAACGTGGTTTTGTCAAAAATGAAAGACGACCTCGACTTAGAGAATATGGGACTTTTCTTGCACCGTAAACTGACACGCCGAGATATAACTGAAATACTGTTCAAAGCGGCGTTCGACCCAACTCACTCCAATTGTCGGTCTGTATATTTTGCTATCGTTTGGATAGAAGTTCCATAAAGAAGGGTTTCACGCCAAGTTTAGCAGTTTGTCCAATATGATTCATATCGCCAATGAACCCAACTTACTCACTCACTCACGATTGGCGATGAATTACTTTCCCACGCATCAATAATTAAAGAGAACAGCATCAATAATTTTAGCAATAAAAATAGTCGTCGATCTCTGACGGCCTTCTATGGAGGGCTTGTTAGATATTCAAGCAGAGAGTGAGTGAGTGAGTATGGTTTTACGCCGCTTTGCAAAACAAAATGAGTTAGTATGTATGGTCTTGCAGCGCGTTTAGCAAATATTCCAGCAATATCGCGGCGGGGGACACCAGAAATGGGCTTCACACATTGTACCCATGTCGGGAATCGAACCCGGGTCTTCGGCGTGACGAGCGAACGCTTTAACCACTAGGCTACCCGACCGCCCCTTAAGCAGAGAAAAAGATATTACTTCAGCGATTCTCAGTGTGATTTTCACTAAAAACAGCTCTTTCCAATGCATCACATGATATCGTGAGCTCGGAGATTCGGTTACCCCCGTTAGATGCACCGCCCACGAACACGTGACAATAAAAACACTTTCGAATATTATGTGAAAATAAAAATAAGACCAGGTTTCAACAAGCTTAAACACGTGCCAACCCTGTAAATAAATAATTGATTATGGCCGTACGGTTGACGTCAGAGAGCCAAAACTCGTTTTCTTTTTTACAGTTTTTCTCTTATGTATTTGTCCTCGAGAGAATTGCTGTTGCATTTTTTTTCTCAGAGAAAACCGAAGTGAAATGGAAACAAAACATATGTCAGCAAAAACGAACCCATTATAATAGCACTTGTGAAAGGATGAGTGGGTGAGTATGGTTTAACGCCGCTTTTAGCAATATTCCAGCAATATCACGGCGGGGGTCGCCCGAAATAGGCTTCACACATTGTACCCATGTCGGGAATCGAACCCGGGTCTTCGGCGTGATCACACGCCAGCCACTACACCGTTATTACAAGGTAACGCTTGGGTTGTTAAAGAACACACCGTTATTTATGAGCTAATATGCCACTTGTACAATATTTGACTATTCTGATAATATTCAGAATAGCCTCGTAGATCTTATGATATCGCTGTTTGATGCTGCGACTGCAAGTTATATCCCGAATCTGGTGAGGTCGTACAAGGCGGCAACAGTCACAGCAAACGTCTCATGTTTCATTTGTCTTTCAGGAATCGAGATTAGAGTTATCTGCCCGTGATACGCCGTAATGTCGCAGATCAACACGCTTTCGCCTGATTTTCGGTAAGTGAAATGTTTGCCTTTATTCTCAGATTTATAAATCTGCTCACCTTCATGGTTTATTCTCCCTGCAGTGTTTTATTGTACGATAACAACTCCAACTCATCGTTTATGTCTTATATGAGATATCAACTTTTTGTACAGCCACTTTAAGTGTGGGTTCGAATCCCGGACGGGACTCAACCCAAAGAAGTGCGAGAATCTGTACTTTACGAAGAAAGTGTTATCCCAAATATAACATGTGTTACATTTGACCACTTTCTAATTGGCATTGTGTATTCATAACTTTCGGCCATGGGAGCCATGCCAAATTACACTTGTCAGAGGGGTACACAAAGTACGTGATCTAGACTACCAGTTGTCGGACTTTCATTTTTGTGGAAGTCTTGGTGGCTGAGTAGGTTAGCTCGCTGACTTTGTGTGCTGGCGATTAGGTGCCTCACTCTGGCAAGTGTGGGTTCGAATCCCGGACGGGACTCAACCCCAAAAAGTACGAGAATCTGAGCATCGATCCAAGCGCTTGGGATACAATGACATCCATCAACCAAGCCAATTATTATTATTGACAGACCGCCGTCACGTAGCTGGAATATTGCTGAGTGCGGCGTTAAACAACAAACAAACAAACGAACAAACAAACAAACAAAAAGTTATTTTAACCAGTGTGACAGTTGTTACCGGCTTTCTGATGTGCGAGACCGCCTCCGTGTTCTTGTGGTAGAGCGTCCGCCTGGAGAGCGGAAGGTCCAGGGTTCGATCCCGGGCCGCGTCATACAAAAAGACGTTAAAAGATTGTACTTGTTGTTACCCTGTCTGGCGCTCGGCATTAAGGGGCTAAAACAAGGACTGGTCGGCTCGGAGTCAGTATACTGTGTCTGAGTGGGGTATTCATGTTAATCTGCGGGATGGTATCTCAGTGAGCTAGCACTATAAATCGGCATCAGTCCGGACTAGTACAAGCAGCCACACACACATATACACGTGCATGCACGTCGCTATATACGTGCAATAATCTTGGACGCGACGTTAAACCCAATTTCACCTCACCTCTGATGTGCGTGTTATCTCAAGCCACTCTGAAACTGTCCATAAACGAGACGCATCAATTAGTTGTGTGTTTGTCGGTTTAATCCATTGATAAGCGGTAACTCTTGCCGACCATTTAAGTAGCAATCTACGAGCCATTGATAAAACGTTTTACTCGCCACAACAAAGTAGTATATTGACTTTGCTTTCAAAATCAGCCAGTAAAAGGGGCTGTTATTCGCGTTTTATCGATACAAAGAATACCAGGAGTTATAAATGACATCGCCTAACCGTTCAAATTAGTTATCTAATAGTGATTTTACAAACGGCTTGGGTGCACGCTTTGAAAAAAACCCGGGGTCCTATAACATGTTTACTTGATTAATTCTTTGTTTTGCTGGGGTAGTGGGTGAGGCGAGGTGAGGTGAAATGGGGTTTGACGTCGCGTCAAAGATTATTACACTTATATAGCGACGTGCATGCAATTGTGTGTGTGTGTTTGTGGCTGCTTGTACTAGTCCGGACTAATGCCGATCTATAGTGCTAGCACACTGAGATACCATGCCGCAGTTTAACATGAATACTCCCCTCAGACACAGTATACTGACTCCGAGCCGACCAGTCCTTGTTTTAGCCCCTTAATGCCGAGCGCCAGACAGGGTAACAAGAAGTACCATATTTTAACGTCTTTTGGTATGACGCGGCCTGGGATCGAACCCCAGACCTTCCCCTCTCCGGGCGGACGCTCTACCTCTAGACCACGGAGGCGGTTCTGGGGCAGTGGGGTAGCCTAGTGGTTAAAGCGTTCGCTCGTCACGCCGAAGACCCGTGTTCGAGTCCCAACATGGGTACAATGTGTGAAACCCATTTCTGGTGTCCCCCGCCGTGATATTGCTGGAATATTTGCTAAACGCGGCGCAAGACCATACTAACTCACTTTGTTTTGCAAAATACGTTTGATCTCCAGATGATGTACTGTGACGTTTGAAGAAAGGCAGTTCCATTGTAATGTATTAAGGTCACGGACCGCCTCCGTGGTCTAGTGGTAGTGCGTCCTCCCGGAGAGCGGAAGGTCCGGGGTTCAATCCCAGGCCGCGTCATACCAAAAGACGTTAAAAGATGGTACTTGTTGTTACCCTGTCTGGCGCTCGGCATTAAGGGGTTAAAGCAATGACTGGTCGGCTCGGAGTCAGTATACTGTGTCTGAGTGGGGTATTCATGTTAAACTGTTGCATTGTATCTCAGTGGGCTAGCACTATAAATCGGCATCAGTCCGGACTACTACAAGCAGCCATACACACACACACCCGTGCATGCACGTCGCTATATAAGTGCAATAATCTTGGACGCGACGTTTAACCCAATTTCACCTCACCTCACCTCACCTATTAAGGTCACGTGTTACTTTGATTTTCAAGCCTTTTAGTTTGACTCGATGACTATCTTTAAGTCACGTTCTGTAAACAATCGTAGCTAAGACTGTCGTAGATCTTGGACAACTTTGAGAGCCTGCATCAGCAGTAAAGACATTGCGTGGGTAAGCCAGCCATGTATCGTACAGCTTGGATGGTAATGGGTGTAAATGAAAGGTTCTCTTAGTGGATCGATGCTCATGATATCAATCACTGGAATGTCTGGTCCAGACTCGATTATTTACAAATGGAATATATGAGGAATATAGCCTTAGAACTGACTTTGTAAAAACGGTGGTAAGTGTGACGGACGGAGAAAGCGCACGTACGCACACACAAGCAAGCATGTGTATAAATTCTAGGTAAACATTGAGCGATTTTCGAAATGATATGCTTTCATTATCGTCCTTCTTTTGCGTAACTGGGTTTTTATACACATAACTGGTAGTTAAGGCGTCGTGTGCAGAAAGGGGATTTCACTGTGACGTATTAAGGTCACGTGTTCCTTTAAGTTTTCCAGCCTTTGGGAATCACTCGATGGCTTCCTTTGTTGTTTGTTTGTTGTTTAACGCAGCACTCAGCAATATTCAAGCTTTATGACGGCGGTGTGTAAATAATCGAGTCTGGACCAGGCAATCCAGTGATTGGCATCCCTTGTTGTTTGTTAATCTATTTGTTGTTTAACGCCGCATTCAGCAATATTCCAGCTATATGACGGCTGTCTGTAGATAATCGAGTCTGTACAAGTCCAGTGATTAACATCATGAGCATCGTTGAGATACGATGACATGCATCAACCAAGTTAGCGAGCCTGACCACCCAGTCCCTTTAGTCGCCTCCTTGGACAAGCATAGTCGCCTCTTACGATAAGCATGGGTTGCTAAAAACATATTCTACCCCAGATCTTCGCGAGCTGCTTCCTTTAATGAGTGAGTGAATGAGTATGGTTTTACGCCGCTTTTAGCAATATTCCAGCAATATCACGGCGGGGGACACCACAAATGGGCTTCAAACATTGTACCCATGTCGGGAATCGAACCCGGGTCTTCGCCGTGACGAGCGAACGCTTCAACCACTAGTCTACCCTACCTCCATCTTCCATTAAGGCGTTGATTTAAAACTAACGCAAAATTCACTCCGTACATGAACACATTGAACAGTAACTGAGTGTTTTAAACTCCAGGCCTCAGGTAACAAAGATGGCGCAGTGCGACAGAAGTGAGCAGTCGTTTGCCGGCGTGTTGGAGATCAACGTCAAGTCGCAGTTCTGTTACGCCGACCCCATCTCCTCGCGGGGCAAGACGCTGCAGATGATCCGGGTACTCACCCTTATCTTCATCCCCCTGGCTGGGGTGATGGGATTTGCTGCCAATCTCATGGTAAGTGTCCAACCATTCTGTGCGGGTTGGCTGAAATAGAACGAGGACCGATCGAGCATGTGACCTGTGTGAACTTGCTGATTTGAATTGTTTTGCCCCCAAAAAGTTGTTTTAGAAGTAACTGTAACAATACAACCCCCCCAAAAGAAAACCACCCAAAAAAAACCATGCTTGCCGTAAAAGGTGACTAACGGGATCGGGTGGTCAGGCTCGCTGACTTGATGCATGTCATCGATCCCAATTGGGTGGATCGATGCTCATGATATTAATCACTGGATTGTCTGGTCCAGACTCGATTATTTACAGACCTCCGTCATATAGCTGGAATATTGCTGAGTGCGGCGTTTAACAACAAATCAACCAACCAACCGTATTGGTGCGACTAATTAGACCAGTGTAACACTGACCATGTTATGTGACCTTTACAGATTGGTGCTATCCAGTCGACAAATGATCTCCACGTCATCCAAAAGCAACTGGCCAAGGCCCAAGCAATAGGCAATCTCGTCCACACTGTACAGATGGAGCGAGCCGATGTTGTGCTCGCCATGAGGACAGGCAACTACAGCATCATAAACGACGTCTACAACAGAACAGACAAGATGGCCATGGAGCAGGATCTCTGGCCAATGTGTGGCCATAGCAACGCCAAGGGATTCACAGAAACCATGCAGAAACACCGTTCCCATTTGAAAGACGACAATAACACCAGCCACAAAGAAGTCGTGTTTTACAACGAAATCAACCAGTGTTTCATCTTCCGTCTTCTCGAATCCTCCAGAGACATGACCCATGGGTCGATCTGGCAGGATCTGATAGCATACAAGATGGTCATCAGAGCCAAAGAGAACATTGGCATCGTTGTCGCGTTTGGGATCGTGTTCTTTGAGAACGGTTCTTTGAATAATGAGGACTACATCTCGCTCCGACAGAACAACGCTTTAGCTGAGGATCATATAGATACATTCATAAGGTATTCCAAACACGCCAGCGATATATATGATGAATATAACATGTCAAACTCTGGTGTATTTACCAGCATTGCCAATTTCAGTTCCATGTGGATCTCAAATAACTTCTCTGACTACTCCAAAGAGATAAGTGCTACTTTCCGGGACACTACCTTTGAGTATTTAGACATTCTTAGGGACCTCAGTTTGAAGATAAAAAGTGATATCAACCTTAGAATGAAAGAAGAAATTGATGCGTCTGAACTGTTCCTAGCTGTTGCCATTCTTGCGTTTGTGGTGGTCATCGTGCTGACCCCTTTACTGGTCTGGTTGATGCACAGGCTGACCACGTCCATACAAGAATACGCTCTAGACGCGTCAATGAAGTCACGCCAGCTTAACATTGAGAAGCAGAGATCTGACAATCTGTTGTACCAGATGATGCCCAAGTCTGTTGCTCAACAGCTTAAGATGAACAAAGCAGTGAACGCGGAATATTTCGACAGCGTCACCGTCTACTTCAGTGACATCGTCGGTTTCACGACCATCTCAGCTCAGAGCACGCCGCTTCAGGTTGTGGCGTTCCTCAACAAGTTGTATCACTTTTTTGACAATTGTCTTGACCGCTATGACGTGTATAAGGTTGAGACAATCGGCGACGCATACATGGTGGTCAGTGGTCTGCCGCAGAGGAACGCATCACGTCACGTGACCGAGGTGACCTTGATGGCGGTTGAACTTCTCGTCGGGGTAAAGGACTTCCGTATTCCGCATATGCCAGAACAGGATCTGAATCTAAGGATCGGCGTCCACACAGGTGAGAAACGAAGCTGATTGAGTGAGTGTGTGGGTGTGAGTTTATTGTTTGTTTATTTGTTGTTTAACGCCGCACTCAGCAATATCCAAGCTATATGACGGCGATCTGTAAATAATCAAGTCTGGATCAGACAATCCAGTGATTGACATCATGAGCATCGATCCATGCAATTGGGATACGATGACATGCATCAACCAAATCAGCGAGCCTGACCACCCGACCCCGTTAGTCGCCTCTTACGACAAGCATAGTCGCCTTTTACGGCAAGCAACACTTACAGGAGTCTATTATCTGTTGCAAACCAAAATTGTCTAGATTTGGTGAAAAACATAACTTTGCATTAAATCTTATTCAATGCCACAGGAACTTTTGTTGTTCAGTATACAAACAGGAGCGGCGTTTCGGTGTATGTTCTATCACTTGATAACGGTGTTAGAACCTTCAAAGAAATGTCGCTCCTAATTGTAAAAAAGAAGTTGTTCATCCCTATGTCTTATCCTTACTTAGTACTCTTAGTACTCGACTTCAAAAGGCCTCTGATAGAAAAAAAAGTTATTTCATCAGATTGATGCAGAAGTTGGGTAGCCTTGTGGTTTAAGAGTTCGCTCATCCCGCCGTCCAGTTTCGACATAGTACAATGTCGGAAGCCCATTTCTGTCCCCTTCCCCACCGTCATATTGCAGGAATATTACCCATTGTGCGAAACATACCATCACACATTAAGACAGGTACAAAATGTCTGCACATGCAGACAAAATAAATGTAGAACGAAACATCTCCTGTAGCAGCCCAGTGGCTAAAGCGAAGACCCGGGTTCGGGTACACCTGCAGTACACCGTTCGAAGCCTATTTCTCGTAATTATTGCTGTTATATTGCTAAACGTGACGTAAAACAATATTCACTCACTCACTAGCCAATATTGCTGTAATATTGCTTAGCGTGTCGTAAAACAATATTCACTCACCCACTAGCCAATATTGCTGTAATATTGCTTAGCGTGTCGTAAAACAATATTCACTCACTCACAAGCCAATATTGCTGTAATAGTGCTCAACTTGTCGTGAAACAATATTCCCTCACTCACAAGCCAATATTGCTGTAATAGTGCTAAACGTGTCGTAAAACAATATTCACTCATTCACTAGCCACTGTGGGGCTTCATAAGCTGTCACTCAATAATGATAACAATGATAAAAATAAATGGCTATTTGTAATAAGCTATATAGACCATCCGTTGAAGCATTCAAAAAAGCGCTAACGCCTTAATGACCCTGGTCAATGGTTTAGTTTGCACTTTTCTTTCTCAGCTCCCTGGGGAGCATACAACCTATGCTGCTCGTGAGTTTAACAGCCACATTACCAGTCACTCTATCACGAGGACGACAAAGCATTTACGTTTGCAGACGTAATTATCAGTTTATTCATCTGAACAATGGGAAAGGTCTTCATTTAAGTGGGATATTGTCTAGATACTCCGCTTGTGTCGTTAATGGACTTAGCGGTAAGTTGAAAGATATTGAATACTGAAGGTTGGCATAAGACATATTATCTCGGTAAAGTAGTTGGTGTGATTGTATACATCGTCCAGAGTCGGGGTCACTGATGAATGAATGACCTGCGGTCTTTATTGTATATTGGGGGATCTGAGGCGCGAGAGCTCTATGAAATATGTGCTCGGTGCATGCGTGCGTGTCGCAATACCAACGTCGCTTAACCCGTGAACATCCCGGTTAGAATAGGTCTTCAGCAACCCATGCTTGCCGTAAAAGGCGTCTATGCTTGTCGTAAGAAGCAAATGGGTGGTCAGACTCTCTGACTTAGTTGACGCATATCATCGTATCCCAATTACGAAGATCGATGCTCATGATGTCAGTCACTGGATTGTCTGGTCCAGACTCGATTATTTACATACAGCTGAAATAATGAATGCGGCATTAAACAACAAACAAACAATATTTCTGCAATTTCACGCCGGAACATGGGAACAATTCGATTATTCTCTGTACATCAGTACTCGCCCCCGACGTATCGATGTTTGGAGATATACACGATCCATTATATGATGAAAGAGCTTCACACGTTGTACCTTAGTTTAGAATCGAACCGGGGACCTGAATAACATCAAAAACATTGTTACATAAAATATATTGTGTATTTACGTTATATTGCCAACGAAATAACACAAAACCTCAATCACGAAATTGCAAATCTAACCCTCCTGCACTTTGATGAGCACGTGAATATGGTTTCGTAACGATCGCCCCTTGGGGCATGACTCGCCATATCAGGGAAGATCTCGCCTTGCACAGGTAGCCAGTTTCTTTGACATACACGTACAGTTCATTAGAGACCTATTGAAAGCAAAATAATCTATACGATAATATCCTGTTTTAATAACAACGCTCCACTGTGATCATATACCTTTGTACAACGACCGCTTTCCCGTTTGGGACATGAATGTCGACGTGGTCGTGTACGTTCATCACCACGCGAGTCTGTTTAGAAAGACGGTCATTAAGACCGTGGATGCTCTTTATCCGGTTTTGTTGCTTGTGAGCGGAGCCGCAGTAATGGTTATGTTACCTAATTGCAAACACAGGTCCAAGAACGACAAGTGATCGAAATTGCTTTTATTATTATAGAATGGAGTGGGTTGGCTTGCTGGAAAATTATCTGAATGAGAAATATGCTTATCGATCAGTAAATGGATCAGTTCAATTACATGTTAGGTAATGTTACACTACATTATCCAAACTCGTCACCGGTAATTACTCTTACGCTTGCTGCTTCTAAGCAGAGTGATGTGTGTAGGCTACAGAACTTCTGCATCGGAAACAATTTGGTTGTTTGTTCAGAAACTTGAAACGAAAGCAAAGTATCTCGGGTGAAATTCACCGCAGCTACCTTGTGAGACTAAACATGATCTTTTTTTCTTTCTTTTTTTTGTTATGTGACGACAGTCTGTAAATAATCGAGTCTGGACCTGACAATCCAGTGGTTGACATCATGAGCATCGATTCACGTAACTGGGATACGATGACATGCATCAACCAAGTCAGCGAGCCTGACCACCCGATCCTGTTAGTCGTCTCTTACGACAAGCATAGCCGCCTTTTATGGCCAGCATGGTTTGCTGAAGACATTTTCCAACCGGGATCTTCACGGGTCAAAAAGCATGAACTGTGCGACAATGGTTTAAAGTTGATAGCTGGTGGAGCAACGACGTTGGGGTAACATAGAGATTAAAGTGTTCGCTTGTCACAACAAAGGTCCGGGTTCAATTCCCAACGTAGGTACAATGTGTGAATCTCATTCATCACACAATGGATCGATGGTATCACGATACGATAAATATGTAAATGAGCTTACGTAGCAGAACTACTTGTTATCTCCGTACATCGATTCAACGTCAAAACTATGACGTTCTCAATATATTCAGATACAGTAAACTACGGTTATAGCGAACTCAAAGGGACCACAAATTCTAGTTCGTTATAACCGTAATTCGTTATAACCATATATACAGCTTATATACAGCAAATGGCAGGGACCTAAAAACCAGTTCGTTATATCCGCCAGTTCGTTATAAACGTGTTCGTTATAACCGTAGTTTACTGTATGGGTTTTCCGAGGTGTGGGTGATTCTGTAGACAAACACAGCTGGAAATCATTTGACACTATATGATACATCGGACGGTTCACTCAAACACTGTATTAATTCTCGGTATCAAAGAGGCGACTAACAGGATCGGGTGGCAAGGATCGCTCACTTGGTTGATGCATGATGATATGGTCGTATGTATCCCAATTGAGTAGATCGATCCATCACTGGATTGTCTGGTCCAGACTCGATTATTTACAGACCGCCGTCATATAGCTGTAATATTGCTGAGTGCGGCGTTATACAACAAATATACAAACAAACAATGGCCCCATATTTAACTATAAGCGATTTCTCAGTTTCGAGTTTTCGAAGGTGAAGGTGTGTGTGTGTGTGTGTGTGTGTATGTGTGACCAAAGTACTGTTACAGGCGCCACTCACCCCAACTCGCTTAGAAATAAGACCAAACATACTCATATCGATACAAATAATAATCGATACCACATCCTCACCCAAATATGCGAGTCTATGAGGTATTTCGGAACATATGTTAACTTTTCGGTCTTACACTTCAGAGTAGTTAATCTGTAAAGTGAGCTCCTTCACACAAGATTACTTCCGATTTAGCCGGAAGCTCGTCGTGCCATTGTTAGTCGGCAATCGGGAGATCACACACAACCAAGTAATATTTGTGATGACTTGGAACTGCCGGAAGTCGTTCGGTATTCGTGGTCTGGGGATTGAGACATGTGATGGCCGAACGACCTATACCACAACACGTGTCACTGCTGACCATGGGTACAATGTGTGAAGCCCATTTCTGGTGTCCCCCGCCGTGATATTGCTGGAATATTGCTAAAAGCGGCGTAAAACCTCACTCACTCACTCACTCACTCACTCACTCACTGCTGACCAAATTATTAGGAATATAAATGGTCCCAGGTGTTCTTTTTATTCCATGAAACACACATAGAGATATGAAATTAATGAAACTACTGAACTACATATTCCAGTCTTAAATTCGGTGTACAATATGCCTTTTAAAAAGTAGTTAATACTTGAGTAGTTTGCCTTAGGTTTGGTACCTCCCAATCTGTTGACTGACATTGGGAGAGTACCCGGGTTTGCTACATGGAATACAGCCCTTCTGAAAATCTGGGTAATGCAGAAGGCTGCAGTGTTGGGGAGTCTTCACATTCTCCGAAAAGTTCTTGGTGGGTGTGACTAGGCAGCGCTTCCTGGGAGAAGTCCCATTCACTGTCTGGGCTGCGTGTAGAGGGGGCAAGGGCCCTGAGCTGATGATGAGCCTAACCAGCCTGACTGTGCCAGGATCACCCAAACTCTCTTTGCTGCATTTTTTATTTTAATCTGTAAATAATAATAATAATAATAATAATAATAATAATAATAATAATAATAATAATAATAATAATATTAATGATAATGATAATGATGATGATAATAATAGGCCATTCATGTCGCGCGTATTTCCACACCACTCAGGGGCATGCTCAAAGCGCTATTATTTCCCCGGTCACTGGATCAGTGTGCACGCAAGAATCATTCTCAACTCCCTGGGGAGTGCACAACCCAAGCTGCCGGTTAGGCGCTAGAAGGTTAACAACCAGTCACTTGCCCAAGGAGACACCCCGTGTGTTTTACGCCGATTGGGGTATATTTCAGCAATATCGCAGTTCGGGTAACAATTAATTTGCCCTGATTTTTATTGGTGCGTCAGTTTCAAACCCCGCTTGATACAAAGTATTAAACGTCTGAGAAGACAAGGTGCATAACTTTGGGCTATCCTCTTACATCAAGTTGAACCCGTGAAGATCCGAGGTAGAATAGGTCTTCAGCAACCCACGCTTACCGTGGGAGGCGACTGTGCTTGTCGTAAGAGGCAACTATTGGGATCGGGTGGTCAGGCTCGCTGACTTGGTTGATGCATGTCATCGTATCCAAATTGCGTGGATCGATGCTCATGATGTTAATCACTGGATTTTCCGGTCCAGACTCGATTATTTACAGACCGCCGTCATGTAGCTGGAATATTGCTGAGTGCGGCGTTAAACAACAAACAAACAAACAAGCATCAAGTTGACATGCAGTGCTATCACTGAAATGTATTAAAAGCGTCATTAAAACCAACTCACGCAAATGAAGCAGTGAGCTTCACGTACGACTGGTACACGGATCATGGACGACTGTGATTCATGTACCACGTGTCACTGCCCCACGTACCACGCCCTGCACATTAGGAAACCGTATTTCCCCGAAAAACACCGGGTAAACACGAATTATTGTCAATTTTTGCAATCGTAGCTTACATTGTTGGTTTCAGTTCATTTCGTATTATTTGACAGAATTACGATAATTAACATCCCTTGTAGATTTAGGGAGTAATTTAATCTCGTTCCGCGACTATTTAATACTCCGCGAAGTGTAATTTGTTACATTTATGAGTGAGTGAGTTGGGTTTAACGCCACTTTATAGTGGCGTTAAACGTTAACGCCACTTTCCAATTATATCGCGGCGTGTCAGCTTAATGTGGGAGGAAAGCCCGAAGTGATGCAGGTCTCAGACGTTTACCACTTCGGTGAAACCCACGAGCACGGGTATGGTGCTGACAAACCTAGAAACATAATCGGAGCGAACCGGGATTCGAACCCACAATCTTGGGTGCCCAAGGGACGCAACTCTGCACAGCGAATCGCGGCGCCTTAGACGACTGGGCCAGCCGTGCCCCCGTTACATTACAGTAACGTTATCATGATAAAATGAGAATTCTTTGATAACAGACCAGGTGTTGGCCAAGAAACAACACCATCTTACATTTGAACAAACAAGGACGCCGTGCGTCCTTTCTCTAACATTTACATAGCTTCTGTTGCTTTTTGTTTCTCACACTCCAAGTCTAATTTCTGATATAACGAACTCTCTAAGTCGCCCTTCATTAGCGTCTGTCGGAAGAAATACTTGAGAGCGTCTTTACCTGTCAGGTGATACATCAAAGGCGCCGCCGCTGTCCTGGTAACATGCTAATCACTTCAGGTGTGCACGTGTGGCGTTCCAAGCATATCTCACCTGAGTCATCATAAGGTCACTTGGTGCAGCGATAAGACTGTCATATTACATTTGTTCAACATTTTATGAATGTAATGCATACTTGAAATTCCAATTAAAACATCAACTATTTTTTTCTATTTTTGATATTTTCAAAAATGACCAGCCTTAAGACAAATTCAAAAAGTAAATGGGATCATCTGAGTGTTCAGCGTCCTCGATTGTCCTGATTCCTGAGAGTTTCTTGGGCTGTGGCCCTGACCCACACTGAGGCACGTTTGGTGCCTCCTTTGGCAAGTGACTTTGTTCAAAATATGGCTCTGTTCAGCATTAAATGGGTACCCGGTAGAATGAGATGATATAATGATTCTGAACTTTCTAGCTCCTCGCAAGACAGCTTGGGTTGTATATTCTGAGCAGAGCTGAGATCAATAACTGAGTACACCCTGATCAATTGAGGGTAATATTGTTAGAGCTTTCAGCATGCACTGAATGTATAAAAGCTAGCCACAGATAAGACCACATTGTTTTATTAGTATATTATCAAGTGTATTATATCCCCCATCCGTGAAGATCCGGGGTAGAATAGGTCTTCAGCAACCCATGTTTGCCGTAATAGGCTACTATGCTTGTCGTAAGAGGCGACTAACGGGATCGGGTGGTCAGGCTCGCTGACTTGGTTGATGTATGTCATCGATCCCAATTGTGTAGATCAATGCTCATGATGTCAATCACTGGATTGTCTAGTCCAGCCTCGATTATTTACAGACCGCCGTCATAATGCTTGAATATTGCTGAGTGCGGCGTTAAAAAACAAACAAACAAATATTATATATCCATCATATTCTGATGAATTCCAAAATGTATATATCAAAAACTTCTTTTCGGAAGTTATGTCAATCCGTATTTTGTGAAAGTAGGCGTTCCGCGTGCAGCACATCGACTGCGTGGACTGTTGCTGTTGACAGTGAATTGATTAGGAAGGATTAGCCGTCTTCGGCTGCTGAGGCAGTAATCGTTGATTTGTTTGTCGCACAGACATCGTCTTCGGAAGTAATAAAAAGGAGGACAGATGATTCACGTGAGGGAATTGGCCCTCGAGTGAGCGAGTTTGCTTTAACGCCGCTTTAAACAGCATTCCAGTTATATTACGGTGTTTCAGCTAAATGTGAAAGGAACCACGAAGTGAAGCGGGTCTTTCACTTTGGTGAAACTCACAGTATAGGGCTGACAAACCCAGAAATATAATCGGGGCGAACCCAGATTCGGGCTCATAATCATAGGATACTGGCGTTCCCAAGGGACGCAACTCTGAACAGCGAATCGCGGCGCCTCAGACCACTGGGCCTCGGTGCTGCTCCCTTATTGGCCCACGAACAAACTTTCCAACCTGCAGTTGTTATCAACTGCACAGGTTACGCGGGTTCAAGTGTCAGGTCGTAAAGTTTCTTATTTGTTTGTCCGTTTGTCCCTTTTCCGGCGCACTCAGCAACAGTCCAGCTATATGACGGCGGTCTATAAATAATCGAGTCTGGACTAGACAATCCAGTGATTGACATCATGAGCATCGATCTACGCCATTGGGATACGATGACATGCATCAACCACGTCAGCGAGCCTGGCCACCCGATACCGTATGTCGCCTCTTACGACAAGCATAGTCGCCTTTTACGACAAACAAAACACCGTTTCAGCCGAGCCTCTGTACCCAACTGTACCCATGCGAGGAATCGAACCCAGGAAATCGGCGTGTTGACCACGTTGCGATGTTGACGTTAGAGACTTTATTGATAAAATGTGAAGAAGACTGAAGCAGTGATCATGAAAAACCCGTTCGATCATGTCTTTCCTTGATTGTTTAACATCATCTCTGAATATTCTATGCACGTCATACAATATTTGTACACTGAAACCTCACTTCGTGAAAATAATTCATGAATGTTTCCCAATGAAATATCAATGCATTCTTGGAGGTATCTCGTTTTGGACATTAGTCTGTATCCAAATTTAATGTTAACGACCAAAATGTGACACAAATGTGGATATAATGGGTCGCCAAAACGCGGCTTAACAAACGACCATGTACACAGTCCCGAATGCTTTCTGTAAAACTCAAAATTCACTTGCTTTTTCAAGTGCCTTTTCTGATAAACGGCACCCCAATACGTGGATCCAACATTCTTATGTCGATACTAGCACCGACCCGTGAAGATCCGGTGTAGAATAGGTCTTCAGCAACCCATACTTGCCGTAAAAGGTGACTATACTTGTCGTAGGAGGCGACCAACGGGATCGGGTGGTCAGGCTCGCTGACGTGGTTGATGCATGTCATTGTATCCCAATTGCGTGGGTCAATGCTCATGATGTCAATCACTGGATTGTCTGGTCCAGACTCGATTATTTACAGACCGCCGTCATATAGCTGGAATATTGCTGAGTGCGGCGTAAAACAACAAACCAAACCATTCTAGCACCATGTCAAGACATACGAAGAATCAGAGAAACCAGGCTTTAGGACGTCTGCATGCCGACCAGACTGCACCAATGGGTGCCAATGCTTTTAATGTCCGCCTGAGAACCATCTACAGTTTCCTGGATTCTTCAAAAGTCTTGAAATAATCATTAAATAGCTGACGGAAATCATGTTTCAAGTACGATCCAAAATTACATAATTTCGTACATGATTTGGATTATTTGACAAAAGAGGTCAGATTGTTAGCGTTTCTTAAAAAATGACGTCTCTATATTGTGTTCCAGGGTCAGTGGTTGCCGGTGTAGTCGGGACGAAGATGCCGCGGTATTGTCTGTTTGGTGACACCGTCAACACCGCCTCGAGGATGGAGTCAAGCGGCGCACGTGAGTATTATCCTGTTCCGCTTGCTGAAGGTTGAGCTGGGCATTCCTGTTAGTGTATTGACAATACTGAACAATACTGAACAATACTGAATAATACTGAACAATAATGAACAATAATGAATAATACTGAACAATACTGAACAATAATGAACAATACTGAATAATACTGAATAATACTGAACAATACTGAATAATACTGAATAATACTGAACAATACTGAACAATACTGAATAATACTGAACAATACTGAACAATAATGAACAATACTGAACAATACTGAACAATACTGAATAATACTGAACAATACTGAACAAAACTCAGTGGTGTCTATAAAGTTGTGGTTGAAGTACGTGTCATGGCAATGTCATGTCATGTCAATTACTCGCCATGTCAGTGTGATACCATGTTAGTACCGCCGTCATAGCTGGAATATTGCCGAGTGCAGTGTTAAAAAACAAACGTAATACGAACAAGGCACTCAACTGCCTGATTCTGTGATTTTGTTTGTTGTTTGTTGTTTAACGCCGCACTCAGCAATCCTCCAGGTATATGACGGCGCTCTGTAAATAATCGAGTCTGGACCAGACAATCCAGTGGTTGATATCATGAGCATCGATCCACGCCACTGGGTATTAACCATGTCAGGGAGTTAGTCGCCACTTACGACAAGCATAGACGCCTTTTACGGCAAGCATGGTTTGTTAAAGACCTAATCTACCCCGGATCTTCTCGGGTCCCCTGGGGGCACGGGTGGCCCAGTCGTCTAAGGCGCCGCAATTCGCTGTGCAGAGTTGCGTCCTTTTGCCACGCCAGAAACCTATGATTGTGGGTTCGAATCCCGGTTCGCCCCGATTATGTTTCTAGGTTTGTCAGCACCATACCCGTGCTCGTGGGTTTCACCGAAGTGGTAAACGTCTGAGACCTGCATCACTTCGGGCTTTCCTCCCACATTAAGCTGACACGCCGCGATATAACTGGAATACTGTTAAAAGCGGCGTTAAACCAAACTCACTCACTCACTCACTCGGGTCCCCTGATTCTATGAAATAACATGTTATAACAGTCGTCTTAGGCCACACAACTTGAGTTGCGCCCCTTAATAAGTGACAGGATCCAAACATCTTGGGGTCGAATCAGGCCCAGGTTCGTCCAACTTATTAACCTCGGTTTATCAGGACCAGACCCATGCCAAGTGGTTAATATCTGCGATTTGCTTCAAGGTCGGCTTTCTCCGTCAAGCCGGATATGACTTGATATGACAGTAAAACTCACTCACTCACTCACTCAGTTGTGTATAATGCCACGTGTTTGTGTTACAGCCCAGAGGATCCACATCAGTAAGACCACGAAGGATCTCCTAACTGGCATCGGTGGTTTCTTTATTGAGCCACGTGGATCCATCGAGGTCAAGGTCAGTTTGATTTTTTTTGTAACTACGCTTCAATTTAAAATCCAATTCAATTCAATTTTATTTAAGTTAGGGGCGGTCGGTGCCCAGTGGTTCAAGCGTTCGTTCGTCATGACAAAGACCCGGGTTCGATTCCCGACATGGGTACAATGTGTGAAGCCAATTTCTGGTGTCCCCCGCCGTGATATTGCTAGAATATTGCTAAAAGCGGCGTAAAACCATACTCACTCACTTATTTAAGTTCAATTTAGAATATCAACATTTGTTGGAGATCGAAATTGCATCCCTGGAGGTAGTGATCGAGAAAGTCTACAAAAATCCCATTAAATGAACTGGCCGGCCCGTAATAATCCAGTTCCTTGTTTTCAGGGTAAAGGAGAAATGGAGACATTCTGGGTGACGGGAACGTCTCATCACGTCCCCAGGGGGCCCTGCGTCGCCCCCCTCCCTGACGTCACCAGGAACGCCGCTGTCATTGTCGACGTCGCAGCACTGAGTCGAGACCTAACATCAAACGTCAGGACGAAGTTGTGATTGACAAATATTGTGATTTACAAGAGAAACACATTTTCTAGGTTATCATTACATTGATTTCCTTACCAGCGCCGTGAGCCGAGTTTCTGACAAGACCTGATACGTAATACTCACTAACGCGTATATATAGCGGGCATTATCGCTATTTGAAACCCCAGATGATAGTACCGAGGTTGTATTATTGCGGAGCGCTCGGAAAACATCGGGCTTTTCACCTGTGAATGACAAGCTCCAAAACAGACGCATTTGAGCGGCGGGCGGTACATTATCGTTCCTCATGACCTATTGCCATCACGTGTAGGATGGTTCATTTTATATTGATGTGTGAACATGGCCAGACGAGTGACAACCACACACCTGAGGTTCGATGCTAGCCAAAGTGCTATCTAATCTGTTGCTATGTCAACGCCTTTGGAACTCCAACGTCCGAAACACGACCTTCATCACAACCAAATCTCAACTTAACTGTAGTTGGTCAGCGTTGTAATGTAGGGATAACCACCAGAGCTCATCGCTGTAATGTGTAAATAAGCTATGTCATTAATGGACCTGACTGCTGGCATTATATGGAGAATTGCTTCAAGACAATTACTATGGCAATTGCTTCAAGACAGTCACATTTGTTTTTAAACATCACCTTCTTTAGCACATCCAACAGTTTGTTAGAGTTAAGCCAAGTTATATTTTGACAGTATTTACTTTGTTTTTATCCTATGCTCCACATGACGAATATCAAATGGTCAGTCTCAGACCTCTTTAACTCGAAGTCTTTTGGATAAAAAAACTGAACAAAAAGCTTTTGGATCATGATCATTTTGGGGGATATTTTTGTCGTGAAAACTGAGCACAAAATTTCATGTGTAATGTCTCCAAAATATTCATGATCCCTAGCTTGTTTTGTTCAGTATATGTGTCGAGTTTTCCGAAGTTCGAGACAAGCGGCGTGTTGATATTAGACATGAGTATCGATATGGATTCGCTGGGGGCCATGACATCACGTCATCATAAACAGTACAGGACAAAATAGAGCTAGGGGATTATTTGTATATATTTGTATTAACATTTGCATTTGGAAAAAGTGGAAACTTCACTGTCAGAATAATTATCTTTTTATTTGAAAAAAAATAAACAAAAAAAATAATTTTGATCTTTTTATTTGAATAAAATCATGTTTCGTGTTACCTCTTGTATTCCATTTGAAAGAAAAAAATATGAATGTACGTGTGTCACAGATAGCAGATCAATAGACAGTGATTAATTTATATTTGTGGCTGTGATTAATAATTGTATTTTCATTTCATGTTTTGCAGCTGTCCAAACTGAATACTGACAATCATAGTCTTCTAAAAACTATATGTTAAAAAAATCATAATTTTCCAAAACACATCAAAGCAGCTCACAGCCACGGTGCCTAGATAATTACCGAAAGGAGAAGTTCTCAGGAATGTTTGGAACACAGGTGTATATTGTTCTCGGAAACTCCCTTCAATCCGGGCTCACCCGTTTTGTAAATATTTCACCGGAGTTACTTCCCTTGCCTCCGAACCTTTTGACGAACAGATTTTGATGGTGTGTTTGTAACGTTGAATGTATTCGTTGAGTTGAAAATAAATGTTTCCTCATGTGAAATAGGTTCATAAAGCAGTATTTTGAGTGATTCCATAAGTGACATGTGATATCAACCCATGTATATACAATCGGTTGGCGTAGCGCTACGCCAACATATGTTTTTGTACCTAACCTTGTAAAGATCACTTGGTTGACTTGGTAGAAATCAGCGTGTAAAAATGACGGGAGTACAAATCAGTTGATCATTCGGCTCGTCTCAGCCCTGTAGATTATCCCAACTAACACTGGGAGGGAGCCTTAATAGAATTAGTGTGGATCACGTGACCATTTCATAAAATCTTGGCGGTAGGGAAGACCCATTTCATGTAACATCCATATCCCCCCATTTCCTGTAATATCCCTATTCCCCCATTTCCTGTAACATCACTATCCCCCATTTCATGTAACATCCCTATCCCCCCATTTCATGTAACATCCCTATCCCCCCATTTCCTGTAATATCCCTATCCCCCCATTTCCTGTAACATCCATATCCCCCCATTTCCTGTAACATCCCTATCCCCCCATTTCATGTAACATCCCTATCCCCCATTTCATGTAACATCCCTATCCACCATTTCCTGTAACATCCCTATCCCCCATTTCCTGTAACATCCCTATCCACCATTTCATGTAACATCCCTATCCCCCCATTTCATGTAACATCCCTATCCCCCATTTCATGTAACATCCCTATCCCCCCATTTCATGTAACATCCCTATCCCCCCATTTCCTGTAACATCCCTATCCCCCATTTCCTGTAACATCCCTATCCCCCCATTTCATGTAACATCCCTATCCCCCATTTCCTGTAACATCCCTATCCCCCCATTTCCTATAACATCCCTATCCCCCCATTTCCTGTAACATCCCTATCCCCCATTTCCTGTAACATCCCTATCCACCATTTCATGTAACATCCCTATCCCCCCATTTCATGTAACATCCCTATCCCCCATTTCATGTAACATCCCTATCCCCCCATTTCATGTAACATCCCTATCCCCCATTTCATGTAACATCCCTATCCCCCCATTTCCTATAACATCCCTATCCCCCCATTTCCTGTAACATCCCTATCCCCCATTTCCTGTAACATCCCTATCCCCCATTTCCTGTAACATCCCTATCCCCCATTTCCTGTAACATCCCTATCCCCCCATTTCCTGTAACATCCCTATCCCCCATTTCCTGTAACATCCCTATCTCCCATTTCCTGTAACATCCCTATCCCCCATTTCATATAACATCCCTATCCCCCCATTTCCAGTAACATCCATATCCCCCCATTTCCTGTAACATCCGTATCCCCCATTTCCTGTAACATCCCTATGCCCCCATTTCCTGTAACATCCCTATCCCCCTTTTCCTGTAACATCCCTATCCCCCCATTTCCCGTAACATCCCTATCCCCCCATTTCCTATAACATCCCTATCCCCCCATTTCCTGTAACATCCCTATCCCCCATTTCCTGTAACATCCCTATCCCCCATTTCCTGTAACATCCGTATCCCCCCATTTCATGTAACATCCGTATCCCCCCATTTCATGTAACATCCGTATCCCCCCATTTCCCGTAACATCCCTATCCCCCATTTCCTGTAACATCCCTATCCCCCATTTCCTGTAACATCCCTATCCCCTCATTTCCTGTAACATCCGTATCCCCCATTTCCTGTAACATCCCTATGCCCCTATTTCATGTAACATCCCACACACACACACACATTTTATGTAACATCTCTGCCGATAATCATATTTGAATTAAAAATGAAATGTTATTTTTTCATTCCCGCTCCCCTTCTTTTGCTTTGTCACCGCCCGGATGAAGCTGACGTCATACGTCATTACTCCGTTACAACCCGGGTCATTACGTATTCTGCATTTTTCAATGTTCTCTTTCAGTGTTGACTACATATAACGGTACTTGTATCTACCTTGGGAATATTGATCGCGCGACGTATGTTTGTGGGCGTAATAGATCCAAGGGCATTTTTTTATGAACAGCTTTTATAATAGCACCAAAACTACCACAATAGTCTATGGCTTGTTTTTATTTCTTGAAAACAATATGTGTTTTCGATTACGGGAGGATTGAATTTTTTCTCTTGACAGATGTTAATATCTCATCAACTGATAGAATTTGAAGGATCTGCTTCAGATTGTAGTTTTACTTTCCTTTGTATTTGGCTATGACGGAGCTGGTATTTCCCACCGAGAATTGCAAGCCAAATTCTTCAAGGCAGTTTATTGTGTAAATAAATCACGTATGTTTCTGATTAGAAAATCGCTGAAGGACAACAAAGATATCAGAGATAAAAGCCTTATCAATATAGTGTTTATCACTTGCATATATTTACTCAGATACGTATAATATTACGATATGTTTGCACTGACAAACACGTTATGTGAACTAAATATATTCTCCCAATTGAAATCACAACTGTTAGTAGTTGTATCAAAGGATGAAGACACGATGATTTGTCTATAGTCGAATATCATAAACCTGCCATCAGTTTTCCCTTAAACCACAATTGGGCTGCAACAATTGATAATTATTCATTTTCCAAGTTTCAAGGAAGGATATGAAGGCGTCTTTTATCTTTAAAAATATTTTCTTGGTTAAACCGATGCCATACCAGTAATTTGATTTGGATCGTTTTCTTTTATAACAGCTGAAACTGACCCTTGTTATATACATGCTTTTTGTTTGTTTGTTTGTTTGTTGAATTATTTAACTCAAATTTGTGATGATAGCACGTGTCAATACTGCCACTTTGGGTAGAATCACACAATCCTTTTGCTGTAGAGGGGATGTTGAACGCGTACCCGGGGCGTACCGATGTAACAAAGACAACTTTCTGCAAACCTGCCATGTTTGTGACAGACTCAGATATCTCTGGCAGTATAAGTTCAGGGTATGAAACTCCCCAAAATTTCAGCCAGACCACAGGACTGGCTAGCTGAAATACTTGCCAGCCCTGACCAAAACCTGCCTGCCCACTATAATCATATGTTTCTCAGGATAAGCTAACGGGGTTTCTTTTTGGTTACATTTTATCATTCACCTTTTTTACATGTGAATTAATGCTTATCATTGGGAAATATTTAGAATATTTTCACATATGAAATATAACCTGACCGTCGGGGAGGGGGATTTGAAAATCTGGCAGCCCAAGTTGAAATCAACCCGTCTCGGACCGTCGGGCAAGCAGGTATTTCGAACACTGCTATAAGCAGGATAACATGTTTTGTTTGTTTGTTTGTTTGTTTGTTGTTTAACGCCGCGCTCAGCAATATTCCAGCTATATGAGCGGTCTGTAAATAATTGAGTCTGGACCCGACAACCCAGTGATTGGCATCACGAGCATCGACCCACGCTATTAGGAGACATGAACCAAGCCTGCGAGCTTGACCGATCCCGTTAGTCGCCTCTTGCGACAAGCATGGGTTCCTGAAGACATATTCTACTCTACCCCGGATCTTCACGGGCACCAACTTGGCGAAACTGCGAGAAAGGTGTGGTGCTGAAACCTCAAGGCTCGTAATCGGATCTATTTATAGATTCGAACCCACGAACCCTCTAAATACTCTCCATCACCTCCGTGTGGAGACAGGGCTAGACAGTAACCCCCCGAGTACTTCATGCTTGGAGGAGTCCACTTAAAGGGACCGGGATGGTCAGGCTCTGTGGCGTAGCTATTTGAGTGCCATAATGCCCCGATGGCGAGGATCGTTGTTCATGCTTTCAATCACTGGTTTGCCTGGACAGACGCGACGTTTTGCTATCTGTATCACTCAGCAGACATTGTATTCATCCAATCCCAGCTTTTAAGCTCGCCTTTCTGGCGTGTATCTTTAACTGTAACATTGTCTTCAACTAACAAACAGTATACCACTGTATTGTGTGTTGGTATCTACTCGTATCCCCCTTTATCTAGGGTATTATATCCCCATTCTGTTATAATATCCTGGACCCTTTCCCTATAACAAATCTTCGTTCAGGAAGTGACGTCATGATGTCAATGGTGTAATTTGATTGGACAGCTGGTTTTAGCGTAGCGTATTTCGAAAATATATATATATATGGGCCCAGGGTATTTATGATAATAAAAAGGGGAAGTAATACCCTGCATAATCGAGGATGATCTACTCGGTGTGTCCACAGTGCCATATGTCATGTAATGCTATAGCTCACTAAATCAAACTGTTTATGAGCTGTATGTTGTGTTTCATAGACCTGTGTACAAAATGCAGATACCTTGAATATTAAAACATGTCTGCATTATTTATGGACTTTCGTTGTTTTCTTTCAAAATAGGGCCGTGGGTGGCCTAGTGGTCAAAGCGTTCTCTCGTCACGCCAAAGACCCGGGTTCGATTCCCCACATGGGTACAATGTGTGAAGCCCATTTCTGGTGTCCACCGCCGTGATATGGCTGGAATATTGCTAAAAGCGGCGTCAAACTATACTCACTCACTCATAGCTGACACTAGAATCGTAAATAGTGATGGTCATTGATAATCGGGGACGGTCGGGTAGCCTAGTGGTTAAAGCGTTCGCTCATCACGCCGAAGACCCGGGTTCGATTC